CTTCATTTCGTATGAAAGTGCATGAAGAAGAGATTCGTTGGTCGATCTCACCAGATAAGGACGGATGATACTCGTTGTACTGTAGCCCGCTGGATTTTATACGATATTCATGTTGACGCAGCCCACGGAACGAGGGAGGAAGTCCCATGGACTGCGTTAACATGAATATCGTATATAATCCAGCCGGCTATCCGTCCTCATCTGGTGAGATCGACCAACGAATCTCTTCTTCATGCACTTTCATACGAAATGAAGGTCCAATGTTATCTCAGGAGATTCTCCGTCCTCATCTGGTGAGATCGACCAACGAATCTCTTCTTCATGCACTTTCATACGAAATGAAGGTTCCCCTAGCAATATATAGTGTTGATTTGCTCTCGTTTTCGGAATTTGGTTGGAGCGACAAAGAGATTTTGTCGAACCTACCTAGTTCTGCGTCCTCTGCGATAGTATTCATTATAATTTCCAGTATCAAACCGTTGGCATAGTATATTCCCAGACGTTTTGCCGGCATCGTTATTGAGAGACGTGATTATTAGCACAGGATTGAAATTTATCGAAGTTTTCATCCCCTTGACCTAATTTTTGTTAAATATTTGTAGCATCCTTCCCCATATAATTTCTTATGCTGCATTTTTCTCTTAATCCCACTTCATATGGTCTATTTATCTCTTCACAGCATTCTATGTGCTCGTTTCTTTCAAGATTGTCCAATTTTGTATTGCTTCAAGTGGAGTTATTGAAGCACAATCACCTACAGCAACGGTTTCAGATGCCTTTCGCATAGCTTCTGAGTGATGGCTTCTGACTTTCATTTGACACCCCTTTACTATGCTATACATAAAAATCATTTTCTGGCCGTCTAAAATTTGGCTGCCTAGAATCCTTCGATTTCGCAACACTTATAGATTCTAAAGTTCATATACTGGCAAATATTTTATATAACACAAATTAATATTTTATTCATAGTTTTATGCATATTCTATTAAAAGTGATGCTTCTTCTAGCTATTTTGCTATGATAACGTTAGCATATCCACAATTTATTATCTTAAAGGTGACAGCAGAGCAGAACGGGCAAGTCTTTGGTGATGAAGAAGAGGCAGTTGATATTGACTCCAATATTAGAAAGGATGAGGAATCAGATTATGACAATGATGAAGATGATGAAGAGAATGAGGATAGCGATGATAATGATGGACAAGCTAAACCAGAGCAAGATGCCGCTAAGGAACACAAGAGGAGCCTCTCAATTGCAATTCCCACAAAGCCTCGAACTGGAAGCGTAAGTCTATACCCCATTATAATTATTTCATTTGATTTTATTTCATACGTACAACTTTTGTTTCTATAGGCTTCGTAACATTATTAGTATTTAAAATAATAGACGAACCACGAAATAAACAATCGTCACTTTTATAAAAAAAGCAACCTGTCTTACTCAACCCATGTTGAAAACTGGCTAACTAGAGGATTGCAGATGGAATTGTTGCTAGTCCTTTTATGAAAATAAAAAGTATCTTTCAGTTTATCGGAAGCAAGTTCTTAGATTTAATTAATAAAGTAAATTTCATTACAATAAGGAGCGAGATATTTCTCGTTCCATCCTGCTCGAGCTTCTAAATGGGTCCTCCGCCCTCGACAATATTTGCAAGTTTATATGAAATAGTAAGCAATTCTATATAGAATGACAGAGGCTCTGCCTCTCTTTTTTATGATAAATTTTTAAATTAAATCTGAGTAAAAAAACTAATTCGAGTAGCGTTTCATTTAAATAAATTTAGGCATCAAGTAAAAAGTAAAATTTAATGAAAGCGTTGTTTGACCTTGTTTTCGCAACTTGATCATATTGGTAGGAAGACCTAAAGGAACTCATCTAGTCCGGAGTCCATAGTATGCACGATAATTTCCAAAGTCGGACCATGGACGTGGTACATTCCTAGACGTTTCGCGGGCATCGTCAGTGAGCCCTGCTAGTCTTAGCATCACACTACAACTCGTCAAATAGACAAGTGCAGTCGATATTTTGACCAATTTTCTGATTAACAGCAGTGGTATCTTTCATTTGCCCTGGGCTTTTCACCATTCCTATATCCTTCATTATCACAATTTTTAATTACTTATTTAAATGTGGTATGGTGTGTCCTATTTTGGCGGATTTTATGAGAACTCTCCAAACTTCAAGCTGGCTTTCTCACCCCAAAACTCGGCAATCTTTTTCCCATAGGTCTTATCAGAGTCTCCCACTCTGCGTAGGATCCGCGTCCTGCCTTCCTGGTTTAGGTATTTCATTCGATCCCTCTCACCCTGTCTTTAACTCCTCGAAGAATTGTTTCCATACTGTCTTAAGCCTTTGATAAAACCCATACTCCCTCCTCGCTAAGTAGGCCCCTAAACATCAGGATTCTCAAGATGGATTGGAAACTATCTTGAGGCTAAAAAGCCCAAGTAATTATCATGGTCAAGCCTTTTCTTCATCGACAGCGTCTATAATCAAATACGTGTACTATTAGCCAACTAGCTCTAGTCTCCGCCGCATCTATCGGGCTTCTTCTATCCATAGGGCTAATTCTATAACTTCCTATGCCCTGGTCGCTAGTGTGCCAGCCCACAAATGTTGGGATTCTATTTGTTTTAATTAGGTTCAATGTAGAACCACAACATTTGTGGGTTGGTACACAAGAGACTAGGGCACAAGAAGACATAAACTTGGAACTATGGATAGAAGCACGATAGATGCGGCGGTGACTAGAGCTAGTTTGCTAATAGTATACATTATTTTTCAACTTAAGTATTGTTTTCGTGACTACCAGTAAATTAGTAATATGAGATGTGTTCACCCAATTTCGTTTAAGGTGATGTAAGACTGGTAGAAGAAAAATTTTCTGGCAATGATATAAGTTAAGTGGACTTTTTCATTGAATTTCACATAGCCTTGCTTTCCCAAAAGTTGTTCTCATCCTGGGTGGACTGCAGTTTAAACCTCGCATCAGCCTTATCAGCACCCTCAGCGGGAGTCAAACTGCGACAGATGAGAATGGGAGATTGACACGTTAACAACTCGGCCACATTGCCACGAGTACCCTTGGGTCACAGGGCTGATGTGAATTTCAAGGAAGGTCAGACCTTTCGCCATATCATATTCTTTGGTGGGATTTTCGATTAAATAACGTATATTTGCTATAGCAATCGACTACGTTACTGTTTTTTGT